TGTGGTGCCAAGCTGTAATGATATGTTGTCTCTCTCTCACTGGCCCACGTCATCATGATATTGGCAGTCTCCAGGTCTCGAGGCAGACTTCAGGTTGACTGAAGAGGAAGTTACCAATGCACATGCTCAGTTGGCTTTGAGCAGACTGTTAGCTTCCTCCTACACCTACCCCTCTACTCAGTTCAGGAAGCTTCTTCTGACTTCTATGAACAACAACCCTCAACTAGTGCCTCTTATCACCATAGGGATTTTAGGGGAAGTTTAGTTTTGCATCTGCCTGTTAATTTACCCCCCTCTCCAACACACACACACACACACACACACACACACACACACACACACACACACACACACGATGTTTGGCACTGTGTATAACTCATTGTCTTAGGGTTTCTATTGCTATAATGAACACCATGACCAAAAGAGCCAGTTGGAGAGAAAAGAGTTTATTTGATTTACATGTCCATATTGCTGTCCATTATCAAACGAAGTCAGGACAGAATTCAATAACGACAGGATCCTGGAGGCAGGAGCTGATGCAGAGACCAAGGAGGAGGCCTGTTTACTGACTTGCTTCCCCTGACTTTCTCAGCTTGCTTTCTTATAGAACCCAGAATTACCAACCCAAGGATGGCACCACCCACCATGGGCTGGGCCTGGCCCCATTGATCACTAATTGAGAAAAAGCCTTGCACGTGGATTTCCATGGAGGCATTTCCTGAACTGAAACTCCTTCTTCTTTGATGATTCTAGCTTGAGTCAAGATGACACACAAAACCAGCCAGTACATTTTTCATTGTAGTTCAGAGCCTCTTAGAGCCTAAGTGGTGTCTCTTAAATAAAAAGTGGCTGGGCCAATAAGATGTTAAGATGCTAAAAGTGCTTGATTACCTCAGTTTGATCCCTGGAACCCACTGGGGAAGGAGAGAACCAGCTCCTGAAAGAAAGGTGTCCCCTGATAGCTCCCTTAGTTCCATGGCATGTGCGTTCACGCACGCGCACACATACACACACACACACACACACACACACTGTTGATGATGACTGTGATGATAATTACAAACTTAAAGTATTAAAAAGCAAACTATCACAAGAGACACATGCCTTTTTTGAATGTCCTGTGAACCAAGCACTTTGCTCTCATTAACCCATGTGTTTCACACGTGACACTGGTGGTTCTCAAGCTTCCTGATGCTGCCACCCATTTGTACAGTACCTCTTGCTTTGATGACTCCCCCTCCAGCCATAAGATTATTTTCGTTGCTATTTCATAACTAGAATTTTGCTACTTGTATGAATCGTACTGGTAGTGTAAATATCTGTGTTTTCCAATGGTCTTAGGTGAATGACCCCTGTGAAAAGGCTGTTTGATCCACTGAGGGGTGGAGAGCCATAGGTTGAGAACCACTGCATTACATCATCTCCTATGTAACAACTAGAAGTTTTTGAATAATAAAAATGGGAGCTCAATGGGAAGCACTAGCAGAGAAATCAAGTTCAGCTATCTACCTACCCCATCTGCTTCTGTGGGTGCTGCTCATTTGGCTCTTGTGTTCAGGATAGTAAGAATGGGAGAACACTGGGAAGCAGGCATGTGTTGTGGTCCTGCTGAGAAGGCAGCTTAAGGCTCCTGGTGTAAAATACATGTTCACGCAGAACATCCACAAGAGAGTACAGATAGGAAAAGCATCTCTTGGCTGTTTTGTCCTATTACCATAGTCACTTAAATCATTTAGTAAAGAGTGGAAGAAATAACAAAACAGACTTCAGTTTACTTTGAACTATGCACAGTTGCCCAAAGTGGTCACCCAGACGAAGGTCAAAGCTCAGTAACACTTGTAGCAAGGAACCCTGGCAGACTTCGGGGCATGGGGACGGCAGAAGGAAAGTAAGAACATAGGTGAATGATAAATAAAATTATTTTTCTTGCTGCTGATTTTCTTGGTGCTTACTGTACAGCCATAATCATTACCATAGCAACACTCTCATTGAACACAACATGAATATGTAGATTTCCCAGAGGGAAAAGGAATGAGTTGCACCTTTGTGCACTTTTACTAGAGAAAGATAAAAGAAGCGGGTTTAATTTCAATTCATAGTTGACTAAACAGGGGTCTGCATCCACGTAGGTAATTATTCCAGATGAATTCTTCACCAGCAGAGATGAATAATATGCTCACTAAGGCCATAAAAAATAAACTATAATGTGTGTGTGTGTGTGTGTGTGTGTGTTCTTGCATGGCTGAGAAGAAGAGAAAGGGAGAGCTTTGCCACCATTATACAGAGAGTTCTGGAAAGAAATCTACAAAAATAGCAGCCCCCCCTTTGCAGTAAAACACCCCTATTAAGGGAGTACTTGAAGCATTAAGGCATAGTCCAGAGGTTTCCAGAATAGAGACTGATTGTGGGAAGGAAGGAAAAACACTGGGGCTCCATGAATGCCCTAGATTGGTTCTCAACCTATGGGTCATGGGTCATATAATAGGCCCGTGGGGTCACATATTAAATATCCTGTATATCAAATATTTGCATTAAGATTCATAAGTTACGAAATAGCAACAAAATAATTTCATAGTTGGGGCTCACACAGCATGAGGAACTGTATTAAGGGATCTCAGCATCAGGAAGGTTGAGTGAGGCTTACAATGATCTCCTCATAAGTTTGGGGTGAGACTAGAGCAGCACAGTAGTGTCTCAGGTTACCAGGGTTTTCACAGAGTTCATTTTTCCTGAGCTTGCCTTAGAGCTAATTTGTGAAGCAGCTCCACAGGTTGGCCCTTTGCATTGAGAAGAACTCTGTGTTTTGTTTTCACGTCTCCAAGTAAAAGCGATGACAGGATCTATGGTTTGGAGTGTGCTCTAGAGACACATAGTTCCAAATCTCAGGCTGATATTGCACATAAACAGGGACCATAATTCTTTGACTGAGGTCTGAACACCAGATACAGAGACATCCTGGATTTCCCAGAAGAGACTCACTTCTAATCACTCCTCTACGACATAGTAAGTAACTGTAAGATTGGTTGTACTAATAACTTGTGCAGAACCAGAGGTATGTCCATAGTGAGTGAAACTCTTGTTGCCTTTGATAATGTCATGGAGCATGAAAAATAAATAACCCAGAGACAGATATTGGGCTTCAGGCTTCAAGGTGAAGACCAGAGAAGCAAAGCAGTCAAGCCAGTAGATCTTACCTCTATCTAGTTGAAATGGCAATCCTGTCTCCAGGAACCCTCAGAGACAAAAGCTCTCAGTTCCTGTCTCCTCCTGTCAGCTCCTGTATCCACCTCCCTAGGGCTGGGATTAAAGGCATGTGATCCCAGGTGCTGAGATCACCATTGTATGAGCTGTTTTTTTTTCCCTTAGTACTGGATCAATTTCATGTAGTCAGTGTGGCTTTGAACTAACAAAGTTTCATCTACCTTTTAATTCTGAGTTCTGGGATTAAAGGTGTGTGCCACCACTGCCTGGCTAGCTTGTGTGGCTACTGGGATTAAAGGTGTGTATCACCATTGCCCCACCTCTATAGCTTGTGGCTGCCTTTGCTTTCTGAATCCTCAGGCAAGCTTCAATAAATCATAAATAACATATCACCACACCCATCTCTTTTCCTATGCACTCTTGCAAACTTACTTGCATTTCTACTTATTTGCCTACCCATTCACCTCTATTTATCTATCTGGCTAGTTCTTCTTATTGAAATACAGATGTGCAAACATATGTGTGGACAAAGATGCATAAACATGCACATACTTGTGTATTTGGAAAACATCTGTTGAGCACATCGCCTACAAGCCACTTTTATAAACTCTAAATTACTTCACTGAGCAAAGCAAAGACAAACTTTTTTTTTGTCCTGGGAAACTAAGACTTGTGTTGGGGAGGAAGTGGTAGGCAGGCAGAAAACAATAGCTAAAATAAGCAAATTGAAATGGAAGGCCACACAAGAATTTGGATGAGACAAGGGAGTTAGGGGTAGAAGGCAGCATTAAATAAAATGGTCAGGAAAGTCCACAATGTCTGGCCACTTGTAATGCAGGCTGACTGTCGAGTCTCAGAGCAAAAGGGAACTGTGTTGGTTTAAGCTACATGGTTTTTCCATCTCCTTATTTTCATTGAGATTCTGGAAGTCCCAGGAAACCATGTGTTGTTACATCACTTCTTGAATGGGCAGAATTAGCCTGAGGAACTCCAGATCCCAAGTTAATCAGAAAGGGCCTGCAAGGAGCCAGCCTGGAGTTTGAAAAAGCGAAGCGCCAGACTAGACAGATCAAGACCAGATCTTGGTGACAGCTTGGCGTCAGCTTGGAGGCGTGAAGAAATTGGACAATTTATGGCCAGCCAGTGAAGCTGCGTCATCATTCCTGCCTTGAGAAGTGCTCAGGGGAAAGAATAAATATGTTTTCTGGTTCTATTTTCAGTTTCCATGGCTCTGTGCTCTGTGGCTATCAGACTCTTCGAAGGTACACTTCAGTGTTTTTTCTTTCCAAAGGAAAACCAAAAGAATTGATGCTGGGTTTTCATGGCTCAGGTGAGGAAAGAGGGTCATGCTGTCTTCAGCCCTGGGAAAGTGTGGGTGGATTACAGATCAGCTAAAAGACAGGAAATTCACAAATGAGGCTGGCCCTGGATAGCACATGGGAATGGCCATGTCTGAGAAGCATAGAAAGCACAAAGAGTATGGAACTGTTTAGTGTCTGTGAGAAAGTGTACAAATCCCAGAAGCTTGTTCCTAGTGCATCACCATCCTGTAAACATACTAAAAAGTCATTACAGTAACTGTACTAGTGTATTATACAATGCTAAATATTAGAAAGTCTAAAATGTCCAATTGTTATATTAGGGACATATCATAACACAGAATGTTCTGTCTTGTGTATCATGTCTTATTTCTTCTCAGATTTGTCTTCCTTTGTGTTAGTCCTTTGCAATGTGTTCTGTTTTATAAAAGAAAGATTGTCCTGCAGGGCATCCCACTAAACGTCTTCCCATTTCTTTTAAGGTAAAATCCAAATGCTGTATAAAGGACTACATAATCATCTTGATGTGTCCTCCGTGTATTTATCTAAACTTGTGCCCCTGCAATTACCGTATCCTTCCTATTTCCTGAACATCTTTGTTCAAATCCCAGAATAGGGCATGCTTGCAGAATGCAGTCCTATTTGACAGTTAATCATCATGCCTTGGACTAGAGGCTGCTTCCATCTCCTTGTATTAGCTGAATTTTTGACTTCTTGACAGATTCTTAACTTTCCTTCTCCATCAAGCCGAGTTGGCTTAGAATGTCCCACAGAACTCCAAGTCTTCGTCTCCCATGGCCCCCCATTGGCTTGTCAGGTAATCCTTCCTGGGACACGGGATTGCTTAATTTTCTTGAAGCTGAGATAATCTTACTTCAACCTCTAGAAGAGGACAGTGATTCTCAGCATGTATGTTCATCCTTATTTGCTCTTCTGCCTGTTTCTATCTGTTTCCTGGCTCTGTTATGTACATGGCTTGCTCTATCCTGGACTACCGCTGAAGCTAGGCTCTGAACAGGGTTTCAGCTTAATGCTCAAGGGGGCAGTGTGGTAATGCGAGAGAGAGCAGCCTCGCCTCTAGGAAAAGTCTTGGCCATTTTTTTTTTTACATAAAAATCTTTGCCCTGGAAATTAAATTATATTTGGGATTTTTGGGTTCCCCTCCCCCAGCCCCGCTGTGGGAGGTTTTGGAAAGTTACTGTGGTGACCTGCACAGTCAGAAAGCTGTCAGTAGTCAACCCCACAAGGCAGGTCATGCAGGCTCCTTCAGCACCAGGGCCCCAGGGGATATGTGCACATGAGGGCTAGACTTTCAGCGGTCAGTGGCCTACCACCAAACCAGCACCTCCTCCCCCAACACACACACACACACACACACACACACACACAAAACCTTCCTTCTCATTCTGGCTACTTTAGGGTCAAGGGCTTGGGATGAATTTCAAACCCAAGTTGGATGGATGGAGAGAGTTGTTTTTATTTGTTTGTGCATGTTTTCCAAAATATTTCTGAGAAAGCAGCTCTGAAAACATGCCGTATGTGTCCATGGATTCATACATATTCATAGCTTGTTCCTGGCTGTAGGTTGAAGTTTTCTTCTTCAATGAGGCTTAAGGTAACTTATAAGGCTCCTCTACAGTTCTAGAAGTTCAAGAATGGAGGGTAAGTTATAAAGAGACCCAGACCTAGAGAAATTCTTTTTTTCTTTGTGGCTTCACAGAAATAAACCAGTCTCCAAACTCCCTTACAGCGTCAAGATGTGCAAACATTATGCCCCAAGCATTGCACTCAGTTAACTCAGGGCTCACCACTATATTTGGATGAACTGCACTTCATCATGTGTCAGCGAGAAAGCTAAGTCCTGCATATAAAGTGGCCAGACCTACAGTCCTGACTCATATAGACCTTGCAGGTTGATGGGAATGGATGCTGTCAAAACCAGCACACACACTGTCTGTGAAGTCAGAGACCAGGATAAGTGCTATCCAGGAAAATAAAGGACAACGGAGATAAAGTGTATAGGGGTCATATTGAGAATTAAGGGTCAGTGGATGGAGATATGACATAACTAAAACAAAAGGCTACGTAGAAGGTGATTGAACAGCATATTAACACAGCAAACATGACACAGCTAAAAACAGAAGGCTGGGTGGAAGGTGGTTGAACAGTATGATAATATGGCAAACTATGTAGAGAAACCAGGGTATTCCTGACACAGAAAGTTGGTTGATGGTTGACGGTGAAAAAGTCACCCCATCTTTTTTTTTTGGTTTTTCGAGACAGGCTTTCTCTGTATTGTTTTGGAGGCTGTCCTGGAACTCGTTCTGTAGACCAGGCTGGCCTCGAACTCCAGAGTGCTGGGATTAAAGGCATGAGCAGTCACCCCATCTTTATCCCCCAAGGAATCGAACAATCTCTTTTAACTTTTGCTATGCACTAGTATTGGAGGCTATGTTAGTTCCTGTTGGGATTTAAGCTACCAATGACTGCCAGCTCCTCACAGTAAGAGGTCATCTCAGAGGTCATCCAAGGCAACTCCCTTTTCATTTAAGAGTAACTTCAAAGCTGTACCCCATAATTATTCAGATTCTTCGAATAAGCAGCAGCCACTTAAAGATCACCCATTCTCTTCCTGACACTCCAGTTTTCCTCCCATTGATTTCTTAGGTGTCTCCCTGCTCAGATCTCCTTCCCTAGGCTGCAAACTCCACAAGGCAGAAATTCTGTCTTCCTTGCTTACATCTTTAAGCTAAAGAAGAGTGAGTGCTACGTGGTAGCTTTTCAGAGCATGCTCACTGGAGGGGGTAGTCAACGCTAAAATGAGACTTCTTGCAACCCAGGAGCCTTCATTCTGTTTGCTAGGAAGAAAACAAAACAAAACAAAACAAAAACAAAACTGGTCCTAACATCTCCTAGAAGGAATCTTACAATCTTTTGGAAACAATGCTAATTTTCTGTTTCTTCTGACTGTTAACATCATGAATACAATGAAACTCTTGAGTTTCTAATAGGGTTACTAATAGGGATGTGGCTAGATGTGGTAATTCAACCAAATGTCCATAGATTTTCTTCTATTATCACCTGCATGTCATTTCTCTGTTCTTTTTTATAGGGACACACACACATATGGTTGTGAAGATCTACTTCAGGTAAAATATTGGAGATGTTCAGCCTGTCACACTTGTATCAAAACAAAACAATAAAATGCAAAAAATTATTTTTTCTATTTTAATAATTATTTTAATTTAATTTTCTTATTTTACATATCAATCCTCTCCCTCCCACCCTCCTATTCCCCCCACTGACCCTCCCTAATCCACCCCCTACCCACTCCCCAAGGATAGTGAGGTCCTTCATGGGGGACCATCAAAGTTCATCACATCATTAGGGGGAGGGCCTAGGCCCTCTTTAATGTATCTGGGTTGCAATAGTATTCCTCCATGGAGAATGGGCTCCCAAAGTTCATTTTTGCACTAAGGATAAACACTTGCTCCACTGTTAGAGGTTCCATAGACTGCCCTGGCCTCCTAGTTGGCACCCACATTCAGAGGACTTGGTTCAGTCAAATGCTGGTTCCCCAGCTTTATAATTAGTGTGCTCTCACTAGGTCAGGTCAACTGTTTCTGTGGGTTTCTCCAGCACGCTCTTGGTTCCTTTGTTCATCCCTCCTCCCTCTCTATAACTGGATCCTGGGAGTATGGCTCAGTTCTTAGCCATGGGTGCCTGCGTCTGCTTCCATCAGCTATTGGATGAAGGCTCTAGGAATGGCAACCAAGGTAGTCATTAATCTCATTATAGGGGAAGGGCATCAAAGGCAGCCTCTCCACCATTGCCTAGATTCTTAGCTGGGGTCATCCCTGTTGATCCCCAAACATTTCCCCAGTGCTGGACCTCTCACCAAACCTGTACTGGCTCCCTCCATCAAGGCATCTCCTTTCTTGCCCTCCTCTATTCCTCCCCTGTCTCAGTTCTGGTCTCTCCTGTTCTTCCCCCCTTCCTCTTCTCCCCCTCTCCCCTTCCCACTACCCTCCTCTCTCCCCCATGCTCCCAATTTGCTCAGGGGTTCTTGTCCCTCTCCCCTTCTTTGGGAGACCATGCATTCTTCTCTTGGGGTCTTCCTTGTTTCCTGGTTTCTCTGGTGGTGTGAGTTGTAGGCTGGTAGTCCTTTGCTCTATGTCTAATATCCATATATGAGTGAGTACATACCCTGCTTGTCTTTCTGTGACTGGGTTACCTCACTCAGGATGGCTTCTTTCAGTTCTATCCATTTGCCTGTGAATTTCAAGATTTCATTGCTTTCTTCTGCTGAGTAATACTCCATTGTGTAAATGTACCACATTTTCTCTATCCATTCTTCGGTTGCTTCCAGGTTCTGGCTATTACAAACAGCTCTGCTATGAACAAAGTTGAATATATGTCCTTGTATGTATATGCATTCTTTGGGTATATGCCCAAGAATGGAATTGCTAAATCTTGAGGTAGACTGATTACCATTTTTCTGAGAAACTGCCATACTGATTTTCAAAGAGGTCATACAAGTTGGCACTCCCACTAGCAATGGAGGAGTGTTCCCCTTTCTCCACATCCTCTCCAGCATAGACTGTCATTGATGTTTTTTATTTTAGCCATTCTGGTTGGTAACATAACATCAAAAACATGCTGGCAATGTTCAGAGTTCACCAGTGAAATAGAATCAATAGGAGAGTCTGTATATAGAAATCATACCCATGGCCATCATTGTGATTTTTATATATTATGTGCATTACTACATATATATGTACATTGTGTATGAGAATTGGCACACACAGTTATGGAGATCGAGAAGGTTCAAAACTGGCAGTTGGCAGCTGGAGACATAGCAGCATTGGTGGTGAAGCCTGAGGAACAGGAGAATTGATGGTGTGAATTTTAAAACCATCGGGGTTGGATGCAGAGGGAGTCGATATCTCATGATAACCTGACAGCTGAAACAGGCTGAAGCCTAAGCTCGAGCCACAAAGCAGGAGCAGTTTCCTTATGAAAGCCTCAGCCTTTCTGCTTTCTTTAGACATTCATCACATTGGGTGAGGCCCAGTTACATTAGAGTGCTTCACTCAGTCTACAGATTTAGATGTTCATTTCTTGCCTAAATAACATTCACTGACATACCTAGACCACATATCTAGACAGTCTGTGATCAAGTCAGCTTGTCCTGTAAAATTAACTAATGTATTATCTAGCAGACTATTAAAGAGAATATTATGCAAAGCATCTTAGTGAACTGACTTAAAGAGAAAGCATACTTCAGAGGTGTGGCGGCTTCTGGAAGGATGGGGGTCTGGCAGAGACTGCATGAGAAAGCACTGAATGCAGAAGAAGTCATAGAGATAGTGGCAATGATGGCAGCAGATGGAACATGTTAGATCCAGGGAAACCTCACACACACACCAGTAATTCTCTTGAAATGGCTATAGACTTCCATACTCACCCCACACCCCAATTTTGCTGCAAAACTTTTAATAAAACTAAGACTAAAGCCCAGAAAGAACTTGTTCCTGTGTTGGCATTCTTCTGTGCTTTGAAGTTGGCCTGAAACCACAACACACACAAAGGTGACTTGGTTTATGGCTGAAGCAATAGCAGCCAAACACTCCATCACTTGTGCTTACATGGCAGAGTTGGAAGTATAGAGCAGAGTTGTCCCTGAGTGCTGACAACACTCCAGACTCGTCTAACACGCGGTGAAATGGAAACGATCATTTTCTCAACTGATCCACTGCACATAGAAGTGAGTCACACACTCATTATTAGATCAGACAAGATGGCAGTGGAACCCGATCTCCACTGTAATCTTACACTTAGTTTCGTACAAAGTAAGTGATAGGTGAAAAATCTAGAAAAGAATATCACCCATCACCCCCACCATGAAAACTCAATGATAACTGTGCCACAGATGAGCCAGACACCGCAACAAATCAGGATGTCATATATTGTTCTAATAATAATTATTATTCTCATTATATTTAAGGATTCATAAAAATGACGAAAACAAATGAGCAGGTAAGAAAATTCAAAAGAAATTCAGAAATTACAAAAACATAGAAGCTCCTGAGTTGAAAAAATACAATATTTATGTATATTTTTAAAAAGTCAGTGAGGAAGAAGTAAGCCTCTAGGTACTGGCTGGTTTTACTTAAAAATTCTTCCAAACACTACGGATTCTACATAGTTTCCTTCAAACAATAAAAGAAAAGGAGAATTTCAACTTATTTATGAAGTCAGCATTACCTTAACACTAGAAGCAAAGATGGAACTAAAGTACAATATACAGAATATAAAATCCTTTCTTATGACAAGTGCAAAATTCCTTAAGACAAACAAACTAAATTTGTTGATAAAATCAGGAACAAGACAAGGCTGTCCACTTTCTCCATATCCCTTCAATATTGTACATGAAGTTCAAGCTAGAACAATAAGACAACAAAAGGATATCAAGGGGATACAAATTTGAAAGGAAGAAGTCAAACTTTCATTATTTGTAGGTGATATAATAGTTTACATAAGTGACCCAAAAAACCCTACCAGGGAACTCTTACAGCTGATAAATACCTTCAGCAAAGTGGCAGGATACAAGATTAACTCAAAAAATACTATATACAGATGATAAATGGTCTGAGAAAGAAATCAGAGAAACATTCACTCTTTACAATAGCCACAAACAACATAAAACACCTTGTGGTGATGCTAACCAAACAAGTGAAAGACATGTGTAGCAAGGAATTTGAGTCTTTAAAGAAAGAAATTAAAGAAGATACCAGAAAAATGGAAACACCTCCCATGCTCTTGGATAGGCAGGATCAACAAAGTAAAAATGGCAATCTTGCCAAAAGCAATCTACAGATTGAATGCAATCCCCATCAAAACCCCAGCACAATTCGTCACAGACCTTGAAAGAATAATAATAAATTTATGTGGAAAAACAAGACCCAGGATAGCCTAAACAATCATGTACAATAAAGGAACTTCTGGAGGCATCACTATCTTTAACTTCAAGCTCTATTATATAGCTATAGTCCTGAAAAAAGCTTGGTGTTGGCACAAAAGTAGACAGGTAGACCAATGAACTTAAATTGAAAACCCTGATATGGACCCATACACTTGATTTTTGACAAAGAAGCTAAAATTATACAATGGAAAAAAGAAAGCATCTTCAACAAATGGTGCCGGCATAATTGGATGCTGGCATGTAGAAGCTTGTAGATAGATATACATCTATTGCAGTGCACAAAACTTAAGTCAAAATGGATCAAAGACCTCAACGTAAATCCAGTCACACTGAATATCTTAGAAGAGAAAGTGGAAGTACCCTTGAATGAATTGGTACAGGAGAATGTTTCCTGAACATAACACCAGTAGCACAGACACTGAGATCCACAATTAATAATTGGGACCTCCTGAAACTGAGAAGCTTCTGTAAGGCAAAGGACACAGTCAACAAGACGAAATGGCAGCCCACAGAATGAGAAAAGATGTTCCCCACCCCACCCCATCTGACAGAGGGCTGATCTCCAAAATTTATAAAGAACTCATGAAGCTAGTCATCAGTTAAAAAGTGGGGTACAGAACTAAATAGAGAATTCTCAACAGAGGAGTCTAAAATGGCTGATAGGACACTTAAGAAAGTGCTTAACATTCTTAGCCATCAGGGAAATGCAAATCAAAACAACTCTGAGATACCATCTTACTCCTGTCAGAATGACTAAAATAAAAAACACAATGACAGTTTATGCTGGAAAGGATATGGAGAAAGGGGAATACTCCATCCTCCACTGCTGGTGGGAGTGCCAACATGTACAGCCACTTTGGAAATCAGTATAGAATTTCCTCAGGAAAATGGAAATCAGTCTGCCACAAGACCCAGCAATTCCACTCTTAGGCATTTACCCAAAGATACAAGAAGGACATATGTTCAGGTATGCTTATAGCAGCATTATTTGTAATAGCCTGAACCTGGAAGCAACCTAGATGCCCTTCAGCTGAAGAATGGATAGAGAAAATGTAGTACATTTATACAAGGGAGTGCTACTTAGCAGAAAAAAAAAAACCAATGGAATCTTGAAATTCTTAGGCAAATGGATGGAACTAGAAGAAACCATTCTGAGTGAGATAACCCAGTCACAAAAAGAGAAATATGGTTAGGAGAAAGAGAAGGGGAGAAGAGGAGGGGAGAGAAGAACA